CTTTGAGTAGAACGGTATCACAACGGACCCGTTAAACAAAATAGGCATAGAGCACTTGTTGATAATTTTCTTGCAGGGGTTGTCTGCCTTTTTTAGTGTGCAATATAAAGTAACAGTTTCCATTTACTGTCATGGCTGAACATACCCGTTCGTAAGTGCATACATTTATATGCTCATTGAATTAGGTAGTCGCGAAATACTTGTAGCAGCTAATCACATTCCGCAAACGCCAAGCGCTGAAAGTTGTCGGAGAATCTGAGTTCTAAAAAAGGCGGTCGATTGTTTTGGGTAAACATGTGTAAAAACACATTCTAACAAACATAAAGTACATGTGTGCATGTGTGCGACACTCGCTTTTATTAAAATCGCTGCAACAACAACAACTGCGGAAAGCAAGTACAACCCAGAATAGTGGATCAACACAAAAGCTTGCAATCGAATAACCGCGAAATATGTATAAAACCACTTGAGAACTTACAAACCCACTTACATACAAGTACTTACATAAATATGTATTTAAGTATATGCGCATACACACAATAAACTTATGACGCTGCGCTGTTTTTGCGCGTAATTGTTTGATTGAATAAATTCTTTTGAAAATTGTCAATTAAATAAAAACCGTAGCGGTCGCCTGATGCCAGAAGCAGTCACAGTTATTGCGTATTCGTTAGCGGATCACGCACGCAGATACAGCATCGTCATAGCCGCACATGGAACTGTTAGGCACAAAAAAAATCGAAGTTAACAAAAACGATTAAATAGTGAAAGTGTGAATAATTAAATAACAAAAACAAACAAAAATTGCCAAAAAACCAAAACAAACAATGAAAAATATTGTTTTTATTTTCGCAGCAGCGTTGCTGTGCTTCTGTGCCACCACTGCACGCGCCGATCTACTCGATTGCAATGAGAAAATCCTACCATCTTTGTCAGATGTGCCTGTCATAGGACCAAAAGTGGCCAGCTCCGAGGACAGCGCTGAGCATCAAGTACGCGATTTCTTCAAAAACGTTGGCTGTCAAATAAAGAAAGGCGCTGCAAAGGTTTCCGAACAGGCCAAAAAGTTGGGCACCGAACTGAAGGAGGGCGCAAAGAAATTCGGTGATAAGGCGAAGGATCTGGGCTCTGATCTAAAGGATAAGTTTGGCGATTTCAAGGAAAAATTTTCGAGTGATTCTGTAGAGGAGGAGCGCACATCACATGGCCTATTGCGCAATGTGGAAATCATAAATCCAGATCTGCTGAAAGCTGAGCAACAATGCGGCCATGGACACATTTTGGATGCATTGGGCAATTGCAGCAAATTGAGGAAGTGATTTTGTGTAACAGTTAAACGCGAATTTATTTAGTTCCTCAAGAGTGATGTATATTTCCAAAGAATATGAAATTACTGTGAATTTAACCCAATAACTAACAATTAAATTTAAATTATATACAAATAGTAGCTCTCAATCTTAACTGAAAAGTTACATTTGTGCGTAAAAATCTAAATTGATATGAACTGAATACTAGCATCAGTATTTGAGCTCGTTTAGTGCCAAAAAATATTAATTGTATCTAAAAAGAAATTATTTGAAATGCATATGTAAGCTTTTATTTTATGTATATACATATGTTCAACGACTTTGTTACTTTTAGGTTTAAGATGAATTTTATATTGCTTCTAAACATAATTGATTTATCAGTTTAAATAGTTACATATGTACACATACAAAAATTTAAATTAAAGAAAAAATAAAAATATATTAGCACAAGCCATCTACATACACTGTAGACCCCAACGGAATTAAATAGTTTTATTTCACACTCAAGGATTCATTGGGTTTGTTAAGGATGGCCACCTCCAAAACTACCGTTTATTGGCATAAGTTGGGTTTAGGAATGTTAATCCCGAGATCCCGGCCTTTTTAAGGTCCCAAAAATTCCGGGATTCTTGGCAAATAATCCGGGATTTTCGGGATTTGTAATTTGCACTGATGGCAATAATGCAAACTAATTTTCTTGACCAGTATTTATTAAATAATTAATATTTTTTTATAAATGTCTAGCTCATTGTATATTAGCGTGGGCCGAAAATCCGCTTTTTTAGATTTCTGATTGGTAATAGCAAAAATATGATTCATTATGCTCTAAAAATAATCTATGTGAAAGATGGCAAGTTTTGGTCAATATCTTAGGCTCGCCCAAGTGCATCAAAGTTCAATAACATCCTCGAATTTCGTCCTTCTAACTTTATCAGCTTAAAACATTACCTATTCGTCCTTGTGATTCCAAAAAAAATTATTATTTTTTAATTCTAAAGAAATTGCCTCTTGCATTTGGTACCCATATTTTTATTTTACATTGCATTAAATTTTTAAAATAATTTTTGGAATTAATCATATCTTTGAAATTACAAAGTCCTTTAAAATAAATCCTGACGACAGAGAGAAAAAATAAAAACGCCACTTTAAGTAAAAAGTAGGTTTCAAACCCATTTATTTGTTATTTATTTTATGGTAGGAGAGATAGGAGCAATTTTTGCGATTTAAGTTGTTAAAAAGTAATGAATATCTAAATCCCGGGACTAATCCCGGGATCCCGGGATTGTAATAACGACGTCCCGAAAATCCTGGGATCCGAAAAAGCTGAAAAATTAATATCCGTAGTTGGGTTATATTGGTAGCTCAAATAAATTAATATTCATTCAACCAGCCTGATTGATAAAGTTGAGTTTGTTGTGGAAGCTCATATCAGAAATATCTTTTTAATCGGTTTTATTAAGCTTGCCTTTTCGTTCTTTTTTTTTTGAGTTAGATCTAGTAACTGAAATTTCACCCCTTTCCTGTGGGCCTATTGAACTGAAATTTGATACACACATTTAGCTCTGATGGCAATACAATCATATAGTACGTATGTTCAGTACCATTGTAAATACAAGATGTCTGCCGCCACAAAATGTCGGATTCAAATATTTTTTAAACCCCCTAAGTATGGATATCAAATGAAAGAGCTTGACTGGCAGAATACAGTAAACTATGACAAATTTCAAAACGAAAATAGCCGCCACCAGAAAATGGCCGATTACATTTTTTTTACTACGTTATCCATATGGGTATAAGGTGAAAGCTCTTGCCGAGCAGAAGACAGTACACAAAATGACTCATTATATACTTTTTTACACCACCCTCAATCAAATGAAAGGACTTGACCAGTACAATACCGTACACTATGAAAAATACAAAATACAAGATGTCCGCTGGTACAAAATAGCGGATTTCAAAATTATTTCACTTCTCTTAATATGCATAATTGGTAATTAATGGAAGGCCTTTACAATTAGCACACAGTGCATGGCAGATCATTTAGTTTATATAGACAACACCTTAAAACTGAAATCGAACCATCTAATTAAAACTAAAATGGATCTCACACCAAAGTTAAGATTTCGTATCGCGTCGAAGACTGTGTGGAATTACGGTGGAAAAAATTTATTAACTGCAGCTTTCCCTTCAAAACTTGGGTCCATCTTGTTGTACAAGAGCTTTGCCCCTCTATTTCATCTCCTCGTGGGAACCAAATGGTAGCAAATAATAAAACAAAAAATAAATAAATTAAAAAAAAAAAAACAATTAAGAAAGTCCAACAATAAATATCCCGTGAAGCCGAACATTAAATACCGTATCAAATATAGTTTTTTCACCTTTCCGAAAACTACCGTTGCATGGTAAGCAAAGGTGGTTTTACCCCTATTTCAAACATCTGCGATAGTATGTTCAGTTTGACTTAATGAGATAAACTTGTGCAGTCATAAATTGGCGGTGCCCCGCCCATTTTCCAAAATTCCATAATAATCTTGCGTGTTTTTAAGAGATTGGTGTGACTTTGACTGAATGAACGTCTTTGGCATGTTTTTGCCTTCTTGTGTAGCTCATGCATTTCATAATATTGTCGTTTTAAACAGACATCCGATTTTCAGGGCAACCATCTCCCCTGCCAAAGCTTCACAGGGCAGAGCGTTAAAAGGGTGTGAAATTTTAAGAAACGAACACATAATTTTCTCAACCAAGATTTTTTCGTAGAAACGAAATCACCATAAGTTACCATTATATGGAATGTTTGCCGATTTAAAAAAAGTTCAGCCGTTTGGTATGTTTTACCAAGAGCAAAAACTGTGAGAAGTTTAGGCCACGCCCATTTTCTAAAAATTTATACTGTTCTTATTTTCCGTCAAAAAGCTTCAGTACTTACTAAAATATCGCAGTTTACATATTTCCGTCAACTACCGTTACATGGGAGGTAAGCGTGGTTATAGTTAGATTTTCCCCATTTTGAACACCATCTATCCTTGGCTCAAAATAAATACATGTACCAAGTTTCGTTGAGGCACCTCAGTTTCTACTCGAGTTATCGTGTGCACAGACGGACAGATAGTCACGACTTAATCCATCTCTCTTTTCATTCTGAGCATTTATCTACATCTATCTCAATTCCTGTAGGCTGTTACCCACAGCCGCTATGTGAACAAATTGATAATATTCTTGTGCAAAATAATCCGCGTGATCAAAATTACACACAAGTACTTTCTGTCAAAAAAGCTTTGCACCATAAAAAGACAAGGGAGGTTAATTCTGGCTAATATAGTAAAAAGTCCTTCTTAAGACTAAAGAAATGGCAGATGGCAGTTCGAAAGACTTTTGTTATTCTAGCACGAAAGTCGTAGAAAAAAAGCTCTCTCATTCACCTCTCGTGGTGAAAATATATAGTGAGAGAAAGCATTTGTATATTATTTAGCTCGCGTCGCTGGAACAATCGCAATGACCGAGTGAGCAAAGCACAGGCTTGCCATTCGAATTATCCGAGTTCGAGTCTCGGGCAGCGGATTTTATTGTTTTAAAAAGAAGAAAATTTTGTTTTTAATTTCATTAAATTTTTAGAAACCTATTTAATTTTTTTATTTTGAATAAATTTTGTTTGTTTGTTTTTTAGTTTGATTTTCTTTTCATGTTTAAATTTTATTGTTAAAAAAAAAAAATATTTTTTTTGTTTCATTTGAAATTTCAAAAATTGTCTCATTAATTTTCCCTTTTGTTTTAATTTAATTCATTTTTATTTCCTTTATTTCATTTTCTTTAAAATTTTGATTTTTTTGTTTTAAATAAAACAATATTATATTTAACATTTAGTTTTGTTTTTTGATTTAATTTTTGATCAAATTTTTTTCTTCTTCTAATTTAGTTTTTACATTTTATTTGTTTTTCAGAAGAAATACATTTTTAATAAACTTTATTTAATTTTTTTTATTTAGTTTTCATTTTTATTCAAGGTTTTCGTTTAATTTGCTTTAATTAAATACTGATGATTGTTTTGAAATACGAAAAATACGAAATAATTTTGCCTTTCGAGAACTGTGGTGTCTTGAAAGACAGTTGTCAAATGGCCCTGAAAGTTCTCTGTACTATCTTGCCTACTTTTTTTCAATTGTCTAACAAAAAACTTTCAACGTTCTTAGCCAGAATTGTCCTGTTAATGATGTTTAAACCTTTTATACCGGCCTTTTAAATTTCGTCTTGCTACGAAGGTTTCGGACGTATAAAGCTCCGAATTTAAAGACTTCATAATTGTATTTTGGGAACAACCTAAAGAATATAGCAATTTGAAAATACTCCACGAACAGTTTTACTTTTTATTTCTTTAGCTATTTTCATATTGATCGAAGGGGTAATAAGAATAAGGTTAAAAGCAGAGTGTAGACGAAGCAGATTAAAAATATGAAACTGAAGCTGAAGAAGAAAAACAGTGCAGTATCTAGTAAAGAAATGTGCTTTTGCAAAAGTTGAAGATGAGGATGTTGTATATGTACTCAATTGCAAGCACTTCGTTTGCAGATTCGTCTTTGTTTTCATTCTGTTGTTAAACCTCGTCTCAAATGAATACAGAGTCAAACCTAGCAGGCAAAATTGCAAACACAATAGGGGTATTCTCTGAGTCTTGCAAAGCCCTTGCATGGTGCACAGATTGCACGGATTGCACGGTAAAACCCGGTTTTCGTATGGGACAGCTTTGCAAACCGTGCAATCCGTGCACCGTGCAAGGGCTTTGCAAGACTCAGAGAATACCCCTAATGTAATGCAGAAGAACCTCAACGAATGTCTGCCAAGCATGTAAAGTTAAAAGCCAACTCATTTAACGAATATTGTTAAGTGAAGCATAGAACTGACGAAAAAGAATTAAAACAAAATGCATATACCAGTGCTTTTTGGCCAAAAGGTTCTAGTTGTCGGTCACATATGCGAGTTAAAACCAAACAATGATACTCTACAACTTTCAAAAAAAAAGTACAAGACCAAATGCCAAAGGTATGTCATCAGCCTGATGCCCTTACCACTGTGGCACACAACAAAAAGCAAACAAAATAGATGACGAAGCGGCAGCAACGTCTTGCGAGAAATACGCAGCATAATGGAACAGGCGAAAGAAGTATTGCAGCTTTTACCTTACAAAAATTATGTGGTAAAAAAAAAAACAATTGACACTAAACAAAAAGCAAAACTATCAACCTGCTCCGATCAGCGGGTAGCGGCGACACTCAGGTGCAAGTGTTCAGTCCCCGAGCCACCAGCAGAGCTAGTCGTGTGCCGCATTTATGTATGTACATATGTATGTATTAAGCTACAGCGAACAAACGAATTGTACTAAATACTTAATTCAGCTAGCCTCGTTGTTGTTGGCTGGCATAGCTTGAGAAAAGTTTGGGCAAACTACTGCAGCGGCTGCAAAACAAGTTTCAGTCAAGATTTATACACCAAACGCTGCGGATACCACGCTTCAACATCAACGCATAAGGCGCACACACACACCAACATAGTACACGCATTGTTTGTTAAAGCAACCGATTGTTTAAAAAATATCGCTTTCGATCTGAAGTAGAAATGAGATTTCTTGAAATTTCAATATTAAACATCTTGACACTAATCGCCTGCGTCTCACTAACAACAGCTGCGGTAATTTGCATTGATGACTCACCGTTGGACAAAAGGCAAGCATCAGACGGAGGAAAAGTCAATGAACAGCAAAGGAATGCAACAACTGCAGCCAGTGGCGAAGATGAAACAGCCGCAGAGTTTGACGGTGTGCTAAATAACCAAACCGATTTAAGCGGCTCCTTCAATGGCAGTCACCATGGTCAGAGTCAAGTCACCCAGTTCTTACAGACCGTACAAGATACCTTGGAGAAAGCCAAACCTTGGGTGGTTGAGCTTGAAAAGGAGGCTAAGCGCTTAGAGGAGACAGCCAAACGCTTCGGTGAGGGAGTTATACGTGGCCTAGGTAGTTTTGTTGATCGGCTGATTGGTGGCGGTCATGGCAGCATTGTCGTGAAGCCAGCAAACTTTGGTGAAATATCAACTTCCAGTCCAGTGAATGCTGTAAGTGCAGACGACAAAAGCCCTCCATTCGACACCACAACCGCAACAGCTACTGTTGCCGAAGTATTGCCTGACTTTGTGGCTGCAGGTGCGGCTGATGCTGCTGTCGACGCTGCTGCTGCAGCTGCCAATGACGCCGAAAATGAAATATCTGGACAGCAAGACGATAACGCACTTTGTCCCGACGGCTTTGTGGCCGAAGTAAATGGCATCTGTCTGCGCATTCATAAATGAAATGGGGAGCATTGAGCGCATTTTAATTTTTAAATTGAGAATGCAGCACTCATGATAAAATAATTCGAAATATTTATGCAATTCATTATATGTGTATTTATTATTTAAGTACAATAAAGTAATTTATCTTTATTTAGTTTAAATCAGAAACAAAGTGTGTCATTTGAATAAATATCTACATATATTGTATACGAGAAATGTGTAGTGACGTGTCCTTACTTACATCGTTCTTACATCAAGTGCAGTTATATTCTTACTATGTACTTTTTATTACCAACATACTCACCCCTTAATTTATACATTAAACGGAGTTCCCCAACCACAATGACTCATCCTATCGAACGATTTCAATGTTTATCAGATTCTTTTTCAGTATAGTGGGTGATGTTACCCCCTTTGTGTTTCACTGAGGCAAAGCTGATGCATATGCATTTGCATATATTTACATATATATGTACATACATATCTACAGTATGTCATCGATAAAAGCAACCGGTAAAAATTCGGGCAGTTGCGTTGACTGCGGTTGTTGCAATAACCGAATCACAAAATAGTTCAGCCTGAAATCTGAATTTAACCTGAGGAAAAAAGTGAAATAATATTGTTCATGGTAAGACAAACAAAATTAATTTGATTCGCTAAAAATATACATATGCACCCAGAATCGAAATATATGTACCTATTAGGGCGGAGTAATTTTTTCAGAGCAAAGTTTTCAAAGAAATTACACGGCGATGAAAAATTAATTCGGTTCAGAAAAACTTATGAAACATTGATTTTTCTTTTAAAAATTGGGACCATTTTTGGTATATATGTAGTTTGTTCAGCAGTTTTGCTTTGAAGCGAACGTAGAATTCGAATATGCCATTTACTTTTCTCGAAATTAACTTCGCCGTAATACAGAAATTAAAATTAAAGAGCTCGAAATTTGAATGAAGTTTTTAGATGTTTTTAATGTTTGTATAAAGTGTGAAACTAGGACTTACATAAACGGAGTTCGTTATAGAAAAATATTTATAATTAAATACCAATACAATAAATAATCTAAACTTTTCAGTTTGTTGTGGCGCTATTATTTTGACAAGCGCTATGCACAGAAAGGGTTGAATGTTTGATAAAATAAACAAATTAAACCAAGTAGCAGTTTCTAATTATAATTGGAAGTTTAAATAAATTTTGGCTACAATTCAGTTAGATTTTCTAAAATTTTGGATACAAAGGAAATTTAGTGCTCTATTTTAAATAAAAATTTTCGAAAAAGATGTATAATGGAAAAAATTTTGCATATTGTGAAAAAACTATTTTACGAGTATTTCCGTGAGTCAATGTATGTCGTCGTCGTTAAAAAGCTCATTTAGTTCGTCATTCGATCTTCTTCGGTACCCGTCGCCTATGCGAAAAGGGGATCTTTGCATACGATAGTCTTCTCGAAAGCCTTCTCATCATTTTTCGATATCGTCCATGTTTCCGCGCCACGATGCCTCTACAACGTCGCTTTGGACAGCACGAAAAAACATGAATGTTTGTGTTGAATTCTTCTATCTACTATGTTACGGTAATTTCATTACCCAGCATGAATTTAAAATTCATTAATATACACCAGATCACGCAGAATAAAGACAGTAAAAAAAAACGATTTTTGGTAGGTCACACGTTATCTTTTTTCGTTGGAAAGCAATCGAAAAGTAAACAAATCAAAAAAAACGAGAATCATAATTATTTTAAGCTACTTTTAACATTCAAATAAGATAAAATTATTAATTTGTAATGCCATTAGTTAACCCTTAATTAGGCGCATATAGAAAATCACACAATTAGTCGCACGGGGTCCCGAGTGACACCAATAAAAATGTTGAACAAAGAAGTGTGAATTATCAAAAATATTAAAGTAATCTATTACCATTAAAAAAATATATATACATATATTTTCGACTATAAACTTAAAAGAAAATTAAAAACCTACCTCCGTAAAAAAAGTTTACGTTAGTGGTCGCATGGGGTCAGAACACAAGAGAGTAGCGACACATGTGTACATACTGTTGTTCCGGTCATGATTAATTTACGTACCCCGCGGGGAGTTGGGAAGCTAGAAAGAGCGCGAGCGCGCTCCAAGCACTCCAATACATTTTTTTCGACTTGAAATGATCTTGACCCCTGCGCGTAATTAAGGGTTAATAAAGGGTGTACAATACTGGTGCTGGTGATGTAAAGAAGGGGTGATACGAGGAAACAACTTTCAAAAACTTGTTTATCAAAAGCATTTACAATGAAGTTGACGTTGTGGAGTCTCCAGGGTATTTATCAGACCTTTATTGGTTTCGATGATAGTCTGTTCTTACAAAAAAATAGAGCCTGATGACTACACGAAATATATTATTTTATTTTATTAATTTTTACTAGTTTGTCTACTTTCATAACCATCAATCAAAATTATATGAGATAGCTTGCTAAACACATTTAAGTAGTCTATTAAAAGACGGTAGTCGACGAGAGATAAATATTGCTAGTACATACACAGCTGCCTGGTTATAGGGTTATCTGGTTTTATTTTTCATTAAATTTTCAACAATTAAATAAATTTAAAAATAAAAATAATTCAGATATGCTTTTATCCAGCACTGTACGAATATCTGCAATGTCTTCCGCAGACTTTTTTCTGGTCACCTTTCCGTGCAAATTGCCATTCATACGCATACATTATTATTTGAAAGTGGTTTAGCATTAATTTCGCATGTTTAGACAAAATATATAAGAAACGCAAAAGCTGTGAGTGAAAAGAACCAAAATTCTTATTCGCGTGCTAGATTTGAACAGCTGTTTAGTGTTTACCATTCGTTTTGACCTTATACTACTCGTATGTATGTATGTGTTTGTTAAGAACTTTTGGTTCTTGCTTTTAACTGTGTAGAATGATCTGATGACAGGTTGGTGACGTTTTTAAACTCTGCTTTCACAAAAATTGCAAATTGCAAATCGAGTTAAAGGCTCAAACGCGGCATGAAACGAATATCTGCCAGTTTACTTTGAGTGGCCGTAACGTTCACAACAGGTCGCTACCACCACTAATCGATTAATTATTTATTTGCATTTGTGAATCAACAATAACGGAATCCAGTTTTTGCGACTACTGACCGCAAAATAATAACTCACAAACGTTCAGAGAGACGCCAGAAAGAACGCTTATTGTGAAAGGCAATTAAAGGCTTAAAGATGCGCTTCTCACTCAGTTACCTGCTGCTGTTCACCTGCTGCATCTTAATCATCACCACACTGTTAAGTGGTCTAGCAGAATCGAGAGTTTTTGATACCAGACCAATACCACCGGCAAATAACCCACGTCGGCGAGCGATACCAATAGCAAATCAACAAGCCAAAACTAATGGCTAAAGATGAGAGAAATTTTGCGATTTACATATATAATTTTTGGTATACATATATATGTATATTTAGTGTGTTTGTATGCAAATTCATACGAAATTTATTTATTTATTCATAAGGCTGAAGCTTTAAGTCGATTTTGTGATTAACCTAAGATCTTAGTGACACGGTAATTACTTGATATATCTTATTTAATTTATAAATACGTAACGAGAAATAGTTAAATTTTTTTATTTAAAAATTACTAAATAAATAATTTAATCGCGTTATCAACTCATAAATTCATAAATAGCAGCACGGAGTTGCACTAAGGTAAGAAAAAAATTAAGCAAGATCATACCAACGCTAGAACTACTATTGCTATCGCTCCACATTTTCGTGATTGCCGCTTGAAGCACTTATATTAAGCGATTTAGATCAACTTCACCGTAGCAAGCCAGTCATTACTATACCTCACTAGCTGGCGCCCATTAAAAATACCGAGCGAAGTTAATACCTCTCCATCTGACAAAGAGAGCCTTCAGCTATATCGTTGCATCCTATTCGGTACTCGCCGTCATGAATGGATAAAGGGCCATATATCTTCCGTGGCATTTTTCTCACTCCAAGGGCTTCAGAAAAAAATTATGTAAAAATCCACGCTGCTCGGTCATAGATCAGGACGGAAATGATGAGAGACGTACATATAAGGGGTTGATTTCAGATAGGACTTGCCCAATCGCCCACTAAGTTCAAAGTACTTGTTGACAAGAGCAATTGATCTCAAACATAGTGGCATTGGGCTAACGAAAGCGACTTTGAAGGTCTAAGGCCACAGTGATATGGCCCAAATAGTTTGTGGCGGTGGGCTTCAGTCTTTTATTGCCATTATTTAGAAGACTGGTCGCATGCTAGTTGGCGCATATCTTGTGGACTGGGCAGAGCGGGCTTCAATTGTGATCAGCTGGTATGCCTTTGTCACACCATAATTTGCATAGAAGTAAGAGTACGAAAACAAACCGAACGTATCACTACCCATCCCCACAACAAGTATGAAAAGTTTGTGTTCCTTTCTCCAAAAGATCATCTTGTTTTTAAAGAATACTTTGTTTAATGTTTTCTTTTTGTTTATCAGCCCTGAATTGATTTTGCTTAAAAAAAAAAAAAATATTTAAACTGGCTGTTATTTTATGACCTAATTGTGAATCGTTTTACAATTGAGAAAGGTGCACAAATTGTGGAATTCGGAGCTCGTGGAAACACACCACTATTTCTTTAAGTACAAACATTCTTACATTCTTTTAAACAGTATCAACTATTTCTAATTAAATTATTGTGTTGATAAATTTTTATTATCACAAAATCATACCTAATTACTCGCTTCTCTTTTGTATGCCTAATTAAACTACTTCCGGATAGTATAGTAGTAAAATTACTGTGATAACTTAAATAGGCAGGAAAAATTTGCTACTGATAAAATGTAAACTTTGAAATCAGCAATTCGGTACCGGTGTAAATACAAATATATATGTATGTACGTTTAAATGAATATGTACATATTTATTTATGTATATATTAGGGTGGTTCTTAAAAATGTCAACATCATTGGGCACTCTTTCAATTTTTTCTACGTACCAAATAAAAACTTCCCCGGAATTTTCTAATTTTATAAAAAAATTTAGACGTCGCTATCAGGGCTTGAAAAAACTTAAATCACAACAGTTCAAGAAAAACTTTTACTAAGTTTCAATACGCTGAGGTAAAAGTCAAGATTTTGGCGAATTTATTTTTTT